GTGTCAGCACAGCTTCTACCCCAGACACCAGTGCATCCATCAGATAAACTCTGTGCCTTCACTGGTAGACTGGGACATACTACTGCAACAGAGGGGAAAGGAGAAGCAGTAAAGTTTTGCCTCGGAGCAAAGAAAAGTATTGCATTACACAGTCCAGAGACTGGGAAAGGAAGACACAGAAAGACTCCAAGACCACAATGTAAAAGCCAATTATCTAAATAAGGATGTAAGAGTCATATTTAGCCCCCTAAGTTAAACTATCCTGATTGCTGTCTTGTGGTAGTTGTACTTGTATAGAAATGACAGAGCTGCTCTGGAACGTGGCTTCATTTAATGCCTGTGATAGGAAATTAGATCACTTGGGCATGTTTTTTCTTTTTGGGTAGGTTTGTTTCTTTGTTTGTTTGGTTTGTTGGTTCTGTTTGGGCTGTTTTTTTTTTTAACTTTAAAGGTCTAAGGGCTAAGGATTTCATACCTGCTCCCAGAAACTGTGCTGCATTCACCCTCGGCAGCTGTTCCGAAATGCCCTGCTTTAATTCATTTGCTTTCAACATCACTCGTTGATCCCTGGTAGAGCCTCACTTGGTAAACTCATTATGACTCAGCCAAGCATTCTGTCACCATCCCAAAGCTTTTCCCTTTATCTGTACATGGTTTTACTTTTCTGTTCCTTTATGGTTTCTTAGGAGAGAAATGTGCTTTTGCAAACTGCTTCTTTTCAAGGCCCTTGTGTGGCCACATCCCTCGAAGCCAAAGCGTTTCTGATCACTCTGCTTTCAGCACAGAGGTGGAAAGATAAATTACCCAGGCTTGGCTTCAGGTACCTTAGCACAAGGCTAAGTTCCCAACACAAACAGCAGCCCTTTAAAAAAGTTGGCTCAAGCGTTATTGCTCATCACCCACCACCCTAGTCATGCACCATTTCACTATTCTGATCCAAAAAAAAAAAAAAAAAAAAAAAAAAAAAAAAAAAAGAAAAAAAGGTGTTTTTTCTTTTCATGAGACAACCAGATCACTGCAGGCTGTGTGATGGTGCTACGCTGGGAACATTTTCTCCAACAGCACAAAGAGAAACACAGAGCTTGCTCTGGGAGGCTTGAAAAATACATATCTCTGTGCTGTCAGCACCCTGTGCCTCAAAAGCAGGCTACAGCAGGGGTCTGTTTGGGGATGAGCAGGCACAGGTAGGTCTGGAGGTGACTCCTAATCACCCACCATCACCCTGCAGTCTGATAAATGTCCTTAACGAGCAGGACTGCTCATTACCACGCTGATGAATCACTGTTTGCTGACAAAAAGGCCGTTTTTCTCAGGGAATTCCTCATCAGCCCTAGGTGTGCCGTAAGTGATTCAGGCTCTCATTAGCCCTAATTAGATAATTGTCCAAATGATTTCTCTATTATTCACGGAGCCTGTACCACTGAGCACCAGCCTATCCACAGGCTGACAGGGGTTTGCTGCAAAGAAACGGTGTTTTTCCAGGGCGATGTTCCTGCAGGGATCACCGTGCTCATCACAGCCCTCCAGGATCTCACCCAGCTGTTGCAGCCCCTCGGGCTTACCCGATGTAAAGCCCCATGACTCAGCTGTGTAGAGGTTTTCAGCAACCCCAAATCTCTTTTTTTTTTTTTTGCACTACTTCTTTCACCCAAAATTTGGTAGTTCTTCAGCCATCTCCTCCCGTCGTGTCCCACGCTGCCTTCCCAGCTCTGGAGGGTACGTGTGCTCCCTTCAAGCAGAGATTTAGTTCCTTCCAATTCATAAGAAGAAAGCAAACAGGAATCATAAAGAGGCACTAATTTTTTTCTTAGCCCCAGAACTCTGATGCCCCCGCTTGATGTGGAATACAGACCTGTTACAGATGGCTCAGTTATTCAAATGCGCTAGCCTGGGACTACACATCCCAATTCCAGAAACTTCAAGGTTGACCTTGGCAAAATCTCTTAAGCTGGAGTTTTTCTTACCTGAAAACAACACTCTAAAAGCTCAGCCACCAGGCTCCCTCTGCAGCCAGTGGAAAAGGAGAGGCAGACACCCTTTAGTTCAAATCTCAGATAGGTATGTAAGAACAATGGGATATGAATCACTCTCTGGGGATGTAGTTTTTCTCTACAGAGAGCAATTGACTGCAGAGGGGTCTAACCAACAACTTTGCCCTTAACCCCTAATAGTTAAATGATGTGAGCAAAGACAAGAGTTTTAAAAATTCACAGGTCACACTTCTCAGTTTCAGAGGGAATTGAGCTGTGCAGTCTTATAAATACAGGGTTTAGCAGCTCTGCAGTCATGCTTCTGTTTGTAAAACCCACAAGTAGTTTTTCCAGGTGAGGTTTCAAACAACCATAAGTTTTTCAGGTGCTATGATGAATACTCAGTCTTTATCCTCCCTCCTGGCTAAAGCTGTACTGCACTGCTCGAGGTGATTAGTGCTTACAGCAAAGGACCACTGGCCTTTCTTTATTAATGGATCCTTGAGAATTCCAGGACATAAGAGACGTTCCAGTCTCTTTTACATGGACCCACTGCAGCTATTTGAGCCCACCTCAACCCTTGGAACTCTTTCGCAAAGACTTCTGGACAGACATGAGCAAACAAACAAAATAGGCACGATGGAATAGAATCATGGACTTGTTAAGGCTGGAAAAGCCCACTAGGATCACCAAGTTCAACCATTAATGCAGCGCTGCCATCCCACCACTAACCCTTGTCCCCAAGTGCAACATCCACAAGCCCTCTGATCACTTCTAGGGATGGTAATTCCACCACTGCCCTGGGAAGACTGCTTCAGTGTTGACCAAAGAACCATCTCTGATACCAGACACAATTGCTAAATATGGCTGTTAAGTTCTGGAGGGAAAGCAGCCTCAGTGACAGCCTGGCATTGCTCTGGAGTCTCTACTCTGCTTGTGCTGTTGACTTCAGACCTTGTATCTTCCTATCTCAGAGGGATGCATATTCCCAGTATCTGAGCATTGCATATTCCCTCAGCCTGGAAGACACAGGAGAGGAGAAGGGTAACTCCTGCTCGGTGTTACCTACACCAGTGTCCTCCTGTCCAGTCAAAAGGAATTAGACAAACTGACAGTCACCAAGGCTGCCTTAAACTGAAACAAGGGATTGGAGAGTTGGGGTTGGAGAAGACTCTGGAGAGATATTAGAGCCCAAGAGAGCTGGGGAGGGACTTTGAGCAAGGGCCTGAAGTGACAGGACAAGGAGAACTGATTTTAAACTAAAAGAGCAGAGATTTAGGTTTGATATAAGGAAGAAATTCTTGGCTGTAAGGGTGGTGAGGCCCTGGCACAGGTTGCCCAGAGATGTTGTGGCTGCCCCATTCCTGGAAGTGTTGAAGGCCGAGTTGGATGGGGCTTGGAGTAACCTCGGGTAGTGGAAGGTGTCCCTGCCCATGGCAGAGGGGTTGAAATGTGATGTCCTTTCAGGTCCCTTCAACCCAAACCATTCTCTCTGATTCAGGGTTTGGAGGTTCCTTGCGCAACCGCATTCCTTGCTTTAGACCACTCAAAACCTCCTACGATTCTCCTCCGTCGGGATCGCGCAAACTGAGTGATGCTTAGGCTTGGTTTACACAGCTCTGCAGAGCAACACCTCTCGCCGGCATACCCCTCCCGGGGATGGAGCTGAGGTCATCCCGAAGGCTCTGGCTGCCGTGGGGACGAGCTGCCGGCAGAGAGAGCCAGAGCACTGGGGAACAGGCGCCGCGCAAGGCGCTGCCAGGGATGAAGGGAAAACAGCTTTTGATGCCCGAGGACCTTCTCGGGAGGCCATTCAGAGCCGCAGATCCTTTTTTACTATTCGCCTGTCGGTGTTCGCCCCCGCAGAACAGCCTTCCCTGCAGCCGAGCATCCCTTCCCAGCCCGTCCTGCTGCCGCCGCAGCGGACAGCCTGCCTTGTCTGAGCTACCCGAAAACAGCCTCCCACCAGGAGATGGTACCCATATTCCACGGCACTGGGGGCAAGCCCTTCACAGTGCAGTCTGCTTTGGGGAAACACCTAGAAGAAACCCAGTCACGCTTTTCCAAAACCACTAGAGCAAAACCCACAGGTGATGCCAGACTCCCTCAGGCAGCAGGGAGGCAGTTCTGCAGGTGTGACCTGCGGTGTAGCACTATTTTATGAACAAACAAAACAGGCACCATGGCATAGAATGATAGAATTGTTAAGGTTCTGAAGTGCAGAGTATTTTCTCTTTAGAGTTTTTATTGTAATGGACTTTTTAATGAACGAAGCCCTCCAGCTGTAATGGTGAGGTTAATAAAGCCCTACTCCTGATGAATATGAACCTGCTAACTAAAATACACACAGCCCTGAGCCAGAGTGCTTATCTTTGTCGAAAGCCAGATGTGTATGCTGATTTCTGTGCAACACTTTGATGCTACCGCGGGTTGTTCTTGATAATCCATCAAAGGCAGATGTGGAATGAGAGGTGATATATGAAGGCACCAGCTCAAAACATCAAAAGGGATACACACTTCAACCTCTCCTCTGGTATTTTCTTGTCCCCTGTTCTCTGCTACTGTGCTGGCAATTTGCATTGCTTCCCTCCAGCTCTCTGCTGGCCAAACATCAGCAGTCTTCCTCCTCAGCAGCTGTCAGAGAGCTATACTCAGCCAAGCATGGTGAGCATACAGGTACCACTCAGTTACTTGGCAAATGTCACATGCCCTGTCAAACCAGAAGCTTGCAAAAGGAGCAGGAGTGATGGTGGGATGCTGCAGGGCACAGGGGCCACATCCCTCTTCTCCCCTGAAGCTCTGTGCCACAGCTCCATGACAGCAGCGGGTCACTGCCTGGCCCTCGTCCCCAGGAGGAGACACCACTGCCCTGGGCAGCAGCAGCACACACCACTCTCAGCAGTGGGTCAGGCAGATCCCTCCTCCAAGAACATCCCATCTTTGGAAAAAAGACGTCACCACGGGGTTCTTGAAGGCTGTCAGGGCCCAATCCAAAGAGTTTTTCTAATGCACCATCTCTGTGATTTACAGTTGTCCTTCACCTTCACCCAAAAAGAGATGGAACTCGGCGAGATCGTGGTGACTGAACATTCCAGTGAGAGGCAGATGTACAAGAGGCAGGTGCCAAGAGCCCAGGACCTGCTGTGGAGAAGCGGAAACTGGATCCACCAGGGTTTTGGGTATCTCACAGGAGAAATGAAAGAATACGGAGAGTGGATGAAAAGTAAGCACAGGGATGTGTTTGGGGCTCTCTGGCTGGGGACGTCTCTATTGCCAACATCACTTTCAGTGCTGGGGTATGACATGAGAGTCTGTTTCACTCCCTGAGGCAGAGCAGAAGCAGCATGGTCCAAGCTCGTTGCAAACTTCTGCCTTTTTAATTATCTCATTCTCAGGAAGGAAATCCCACTGCATCCTCTTTCCACCACCATGGCTGCACGCAAAACTCAGCACAGGCCAAAGACATCTTTTACACTTAAATCAGCTATGTGTCATTAGCATCACGTTCCTTATAGCAGTGCCCAGAATCACACGTCAGGGCCGGGGATCGAGTCTCATTCATAACTGCTTTGGATCAGCCACTGCTCCTCATCCACATGTGGGCTGAATATGGGAATCGTGGGGGCAAAGGCTCCAGCTGTGGGGCAGCAATAGGCACTGTGGGTGTTATGATGCTATAAAATTCAGACTGAGACTGATCTCAAAGGTTTGCTGTCCAGACAGGAACACTGCATGAGCAGATGGTCCCTGTTACCCAGAATTACAAGGAATGTGGGTTTTTTGGGAGTCTGTGTAAGGCTGTGGGTCCCCCTGTCAGGGCTAGGTTTGTTAGCAGAACCACTGCAGCAGTGGGAGATAAATAAGTGCACAGACAGGCTGTGCAGGAGCTGTCACTGGTGGAGAAGCTGGGATGAAATGATCCAGACAGACTTATCAGGCTGCAGTGTGATCCCCAGACACAGGGGAACATTTCCTCTTGTTTGTCTTTGCTCCAGCAGTCCATATTCAATGTTTTGAAAACCTTTGGCCACTGTCCTCTGGTTATATTTGAATTTTTACAGTTAACACTTGCATCTGAATCTGAGCACACTGCTGATATGTGTTTCACATCTCAATACCAAATATGAGTTAAAATTAATTCAGACAAGGCTGGTCATTTTTATCTAAGGAACTCATTCTTACTCCTCCTCATTCCTCCTCCTTCACCCTGCCTGGAAAGAGTTTTTTTAGGGATAAGTCATTGCCCATATTCAAAAAGTAGCCTGACACTTTATGCTGCATCTAGTTAACAACCTAAGCTAACAGAATTAATTTCAAATCTTTAGGAAGGTGAGAGCTGCGTACACACACTGCCTGAGCATTTTGTACGTGCAGGCTCCTCTTTCTCGCCTACTCTCCTTACACCTATTCTCCTGCCGTGTGTTTAATAACACATAGCAGTTCAGAAATGGTTACAGTTCTCCCAGAAGAGAGGAAGAAAGAAAAAATTCAAGCCAAGAACCAACAGCAACATTTATTGGATGCTACAAGTCCCCCCTCTGCCCAAGGAGATCGCTGTACGTAGATGCCCTCCAACAGGCTGCCCTCATCCCACCTTCCCCTTGCACTCACCTGAGGCACCTGAGCTTGGTACCTGTTTGCTCTGTCCAGGTTAAATAGCCTTCCCCAAACAGCAATAACTCTTTGTCCCTTGAAAATGCCTCTTTGCCCTGAATACAGTCCAAGACAAAATATCTATTTTCTTAATTTAGTTTTTTTAGCTCTCAAAATACTTTTTAGGCACCTTTGACCCCTTTGATCTCCTATATACAGTGTACCTCCATGTTCTCAGTTGCCGATTTTCTCCCTAAAACAGCAAAATTTTTTCCTTTTCATATTTCCCTGTCTACATAGAAACCAGTTTCAGAGTCCCTCTCTGCATCTGAATCATACACCAAAAAGGGTCTGTTTCCCCATTAAATTTATAGCAGAATCTAATGTGATCTACCATGCAAGTAATTGTTTGACTATTCTTTGACCACCATAAATAAATCACTTTTTTATCAATCCCTCCATGAACTTTATAGCAGTGCCCAGTCCGTCCCTATCAGTTTTCAAGTGCCAGATGCAAAAATACACTGAGACAGCAATGAATCAGAGAGTGGCTTTACAGTTTCTCCCACTAATACATCACCTCTGTTCTGTGGACCAGAAAGCAGCTGCAGGGATGAGGGTGCTTTGCTCAGATGATGCCTTATCGACAGCATTCTCCTTTGATCTCCTCCAGACAAGCCCTTAATGGTCCAGCTGGTGGACTGGATCTTGCGAGGGACCTCTCAGGTGATGTTTGTCAACAACCCCCTCAGCGGGCTGATCATTTTGGCGGGGCTTTTCATCCAGAGTCCCTGGTGGATGCTCACGGGCTGCACCGGAACCGCCGTGTCCACGCTGACCGCGCTGGCTCTCAGTCAGGACAGGTAGGCGGCACCTCATGCCCTCGTGCACTTCCTAAAAACTGGTTTGTTTTAATGTCTGGAGCCCACTGGTGGCTCATAACCCCTCGTTATGGGCAGCAGACTGGCTCTCCTTACAGAGGGTTTGGAAGCAGTTGGGTGAGGACAGAGCCGTGGCCCAGGAAGCTCTGGCCTGTCCCCACAACTGTCTGTCTCCATGAAAACAGATGATTAACTCTCTCTGATAGTGACTGTCACAACCATGCAGCTCCTACAGGTGATTAAGGAGCCCCCTAGACCACCATCATCCAAAAATCCCCAAACTCCCCCCTTCCACGCACCAGTGAGAGACAGTACATCAGCAAACTCACTGCTTTTTTATCCCTCCCTTCACTGGGAGCAGAGCACTTATAAAAGCTGCGTCTCCAGCATGCCTTGCTACCCTGCAGACATTTATTTCCATCACAGATCAGCCATCTCAGCTGGGCTGCACGGCTACAACGGGATGCTGGTGGGATTGCTCATGGCCGTCTACTCCAGCAAAGGGGATTACTACTGGTGGCTTCTCCCTCCGGTGGTAGTTATATCCATGGCCTGGTAAGTACCCCTGCTCCACAGGACGATTCTCAAGGATATATATACCATTCTCTGGCCATAAACAGCTTAAACACACCGAAGTCCCCTCTACACCAGTAACTCCTGCAATGGTGGCAGGGGAATGATGTGCTTATCCATGCACAGAGCTCCTGAGGGACGTGGTAGGAGTTGAGGGCACAGACAACACTGATTATAGCACCTTGATAAAGCAGCCCCACCCCAGTTCTCCAAAAATATCCCTCAGCAACTGGACACATTCCGGGTGGAGGTCATCGTGCCCAACACCACAACAGCTCCTCCACACCCAGGTGCTGAACCGACCCTGTGCTCTCCCTCGGGCTGAATTCAGTATTCAATATCTTCTCAGGCGTGCAACCAGCCATGAGCAAAATTAATTCCTCCAAGTAACTCCAAACGCCAGGCTATGTCCTTCCAGGATTAAATTTGCCATTCTTAAACATGGACCCTAACAGCACCGCAGAATCTATTTAACAGCCTTAACTGGAATTAATTTGACACATTTTAATCACTGTAAGCAATAAGATGCAAGTCATTATTGGATTTCACTGCTTTTAAGATCAGATTTTATATATATATATATATATATATATATATATATATATTTTATTTCTTTAGTCTCTCTCAGCAAAGGTCATTTTATAACAATCTCTCAAAGCCCAGTGCATGCTGCAAGAATGTTTAGCTTGTCTTATCTGCCAGAATTCCTTGAGGCTTTTCGTTCAAACTTTTCTTCATTCTTTTAGTTCACAAGACTCGAGGGTAGAGCTGAAAGATTTTAAAATTAGACAGTTCAGTGATGTTTTAACTGATATTTTGAATTTCAGCTTTAGAAGTCAGCATTTCTTTAATTGTTTCCTTTTTTCCTGACAACATGTATAAGTAGTAGAAGCTTTGTATTTCAGCACAGAAATTAGGACACCATTTTCACTGAAGTACTGATTTTTTTTTTTTTTCCTACAGCTAGAAGCAATAAATCTGTAAAGTCCTTTGGGGACCAAATTTGTTAAAAAAAAAAAAAAAAAAAAAAAAAAAAAAAAAAAAAAAAAAAAAAAAAAAAAAAAAAAAAAAAAAAAAAAAAAAAAAAAAAAAAAAAAAAAAAAAAAAAAAAAAAAAAAAAAAAAAAAAAAAAAAAAAAAAAAAAAAAAAAAAAAAAAAAAAAAAAAAA